GCGTCTGTATTTGGCTTTTTGAGACCGTTTCTCTGTGCAGCCCTGGCTGTCCTGGAACTCACTCTGTAGCTCAGGCTGACCTCAGACTCAGGCTCCCCCCTGCCACTGCCTCCCAAGTGCTGGGATTAAAGGCATGCACCACCACCTCCCACCTTGTAACTGTCATCTTTTAAATGTGAGTTTTAATTATTATTCCTTCTTTGCTGAAATTTTAAAAAATTGTTTTGCTTTGAAACATTATCAGTTAAGAGTAATACTAGAAAGTGTTCTTTCAAATTAAGACTGTATTCCTTTAGTTTAAATAATCTTTAAGATGTTTAATTTTAACAAGCAATGTAAGTGTTGACTCTTCTTTAAAATGGTAAAATAAGTATTCTTAGATGATATTTTTGTTAAATCTTGGAATAATTTGACTGAAATATTTGACTTATTTCCCAGTGAATGGACTTAGTTTTTTGTGAGCATTAGGACAACCTTTAGCATACAAGTTACAGTTGAAAACTGCTAATGATATTTAGCTAATGAAGTATTTCAGTTGTAAAAGAGAGGGAATTATCCTAATACTCTTGAGTATCATCAAGAAGTGGTAAGGTGTAATTATTTAAATGACTGAATTCTAAAATACATGAGGGCTTGGCATTTATAATGCTCTTCCTAAAGTTCACAGGGTCATCCAAGGCGTTCAGCCCCTGTTGGAATGAAGTAAGTCCTGGGCTGGAGTTGATTGATAATTTGTTGATATTCAAATTGTACCTTCCATCAAGACCCCTTAGTCTATCTTTGCTCTTTCCATATATGGGATACTTACCATACACGTTAAATTTGATGAGGAAGACTACACCAGGGAATTGCTCTTCTTAAATGGAAATCTTGAAAGTATTCTTAAAAGTTAAAAATAGCCCGTTACAACACTCAAAATGAGAGTTCTGAGAGGGAGTGACTAAAGAGGAGGGAAGTCAAATCCGAGCATAAATACTTAACTAAAATCAACTGAAAAAGAACCTCCTAAGCTTAGAGGATGTGCCCCAAGTCAGCTACCTGTCAAGAACCCAAATTGCAGACTACAAGAAGCACCACATGTCTCCTTCCCCGAGGCTGTTGGAGGTTTGTGCTTGATATCCTGAAGTGCCGATACCCCTAACAGCCTGGAGAAACCCCAGATCTAATTTAATTTCTCAGTGAAACTGTATGAGTCAGAACAAATTATCATTGTTTTATGAAAAAATTCTGTGCTGTTCATTTTTATTGCCCTCATTTTGGATTTTGAAAGTAATACTTTTTTTTATAAATTAAGAAAATCCACCCAAAATGTGAAACAGTTGTTTTAATAAAGTGTTCATTTTCACTCAAGAAACTTGATATGGGATTTAGTATAATTTCTATGAACCAAAGAAAACTTTTTATTCTGAGGGGGAAAAAAAAACATGCTAGTTAAGGTTAATGCTTTACCCTCCCTGAAATCTTGTTTAAGATGTTTTACTTTTCTGTTTTTGTTTTTGCTTATTTTTAAGACAAATAAAAGTTGACACTGTGCTAAATTCCTAATATGGAAAGTTCATCGTAATAAATATGCATCTTCCATTCCATTCTAAGTGTAAGAAAAAGATACTAGTTTTCACAATGAATTTTAAACTTATGAACAATATGTCTACATAATTGGAGGGGAGAATCCTGCAAACATTTCCTTATCCTAAGAACATCAATAATAAATTATCTAACAATGGAATGCATTGTTCTTATTACATTCATACATTTTGGCACCAATTTGTGCAATGGACTTTTCCAGAACTTGAAACTTGTTATTTCCAGAGTGTATACACAAAAATGTGCTTATATGCAAAATATTATATGAGCTTACAAATGCAAATCTATGTCAGAAATACAAAAAGAATTAATCTTGGTATGTCCAAGTCCCAATTAAATATAATTTTACTTAAATTTCTTTATTCTTACCTAGGTTTTATACATCTGATGGGGCATTTTAATGAAAAAGCAGGTGAAGGAAAGAAACAGCAGTTTAATAATTTCCTAAGAATTATAAACTGGCAGAATTTTATGACGACTATTTTGAGTAATCTTATATAGCATATTTAAGAATAAAATAAGACATTCTCTACACACACTTAAGGGGACTGTGTACTCATGGCTTGAGAATGCTTCTTCATCTAAACACTGCAGATGTTTTTGGACACTCTCCAGGTATCTTTTATAACCTTCCCATCTGCCAAGCTGAACCCACTGAAAGGGTTTGGAAAGTCCTGGGAATGTGTCTTTGTTTGAGTTGAGTTCAAAGGACTTGCCATCTCTGAAGACTTCTAAAGGGTGTAGGATGCCTAAGCCTTCCAAGAAAAACTAGTTTTTCATTTCACCTCAAATATGTGCCACCAAAGGCTGAAAGGGTTTAAGTGTTGTATTGTTGGCTGGGAATTTCAAATTTAATTCATCAGTATCAGGGATCCATTGCATGCTGTAGAAAACATTTCATAAAGCAAACACATGCACTGAAATTAGGATTACCAACTGGTATATATGTTTTTTTTCTTTTTGTTTTTTGTTTGCACCTCAAAACAGAATCAATATAGTGCATATCATGCTCCCCCACCTTCCTTGCTGAAGGACAAAGTACATAAAATGCTGGGGCTGGTTTCTGAACCTAAGGGAAGCCATCTTAGTCCTCTGGCAGAATCGCATCCTGCTGTGGAACCACAAGTCCCACAGCAGGGGCTCCCTCTTCAGCTTTGGGGTCCATTTCTTCCTCCAAAGACTTCAGCTTCTCCCCTGAGCTCCTCTTCATGGCCAGGTCATCGGTCTTCAAGCCATCCTCCAGTGCCTGAAGCACCATCCTGGAGACCTCCTCATCTTTTATATCTGCATCTTTCTCTTTCACCGTGGATTGCAGATTCCTTATCTCAGCTGCTGCACCCTCAGCTACCATTTGGTTCTCTTGCATTTCCTCTCCCAGAAGAGCTGTGTTGTCCTTGACATCTTGGGTTGAAGATGGATCTGGGCTGGCCTTGTGACTCTCCTGGATGTTGGTGTGGCTGCTGCTGCCCCCCCCCAGCCGAGAAGAGGCCACCACAGCCTTTACAGCTGCCTGATTAGAGAGAGAAAAGTATACAATAGTGTTTCCATGGGAAACCCCATATTGTAGTATAATCCCTACTTTGTTTTATAGGTTAGTGTTCAGTCTTTCAAAGTGAAGGAAATTATTTCAAGATTGGTTGTCAGCTAAAAAGGTATTTGGAGAAAGAACTGTAAAACCTCTATACAAATTAGAATTATTGGGACGATTGAAAACATGAGTAACTTGTGCCTCTGAGTGACTTACAGTTTTATATTCTCCAAAGGATGTTTCATGAAATACTAGATCCATGATTCTGGCTGGTATCATGGAAACAAGAGTGCAATGCTCAAACTAACTTCAGAAATAGTTAAGCCAAAGCTACTTAATACATGTCATTTCAAAATTAGACCATGGAGCTCCTCCTATCGGTCTGTGAAAGAGAACACAATGAGATGTTAATTTGGGCCTCTAGCTAGTCTCTGAGATCTGCTGTTTATATAGCTAGTCCTAAACATCATACAAATGCACTTAACCACCATTCTATTTATAGTCTCATGTATTTTGAGTAGTTTTCTGTCTTTTTTAAGTAATTATCTATAGGATGGAATAGTTTTGAAAGTTGTTTCCCAATTATTACAGGTTTAGAAACTTTCTGGATAAATACAAGTTTCTTGAATGGTGCCTTATTATACAAGAAGCAGCAATAATGTATCTGGTGGAGGCCAGTGAAATGATCCGGTAGGTTAAGGAACGACGGACGCCCTTGCCCCAAGCTTTGGGACTTAATGGTGGAAGTTGAGAATCAATTCCCTCAAGTTGTCCTCTGACCTGCACATGCTATGACACACCTTTAAGCTTGTGCACACACAGAGAAAGTAAATAAGATACACACAGACAGACAGACAGAGACACACACACACACACACACTTTGTAATTTAAACATACAGCACAAGTATTCATGTTCTGCTTTTTATTCCAGCTCTGAACCATTTCTTAAGTGCTTTCCTTCTCCTAAAAATGAATTCATGAGAAGACACACACACGCTCCAAAACAACAAAAACAAATCCTAAGTGATTTTATGTCACTATCTTAGGAGTTGAAAACCAACACTTTTCCCTGGTGTTGCAGAACATGAATAATCTAGTACTAAAGAAAGAAAAAACATCTTCAAACAAAACGAACAAAAAACTCCATGCTTTACCTTAAGCTTGCGCCGAGCGTTGAACTCTTGGAGCTTCTTCTGAGCAGTGTCCATGTGTACAAAGTTGGCTGCTCTGCCTGGCACCCACGGGTGCTGGAGGGCTTGAAATGTAGTCAGCCGTTTCTTGGGATCCAAAACAATTAGTTTTCTGACCTGCAACCATAAAGAAATATGGACTCAGAGAAACTGTACTGGCCCTCAGACTGTGAATCTCCAAGTATTACTCTACCTATTAGCAATAGCACTAAGTACATGTTTTTGAACATGCTTACACTGGTAGGCAAAGGACCTACCTCAGGAAAGCAGCAGCTGAGGGTGTCCTGGAAGACTGGGCCACTTACCACCTGTAGGCCCAAACTCACAGCTTACTTTCCACAGAGGTCAAAGAATGGGGTCCTTGCTTGTCTACTGACCAGATGCCTTTTGAAGGTAGAACCAGCACTGGACTAATTCTAGGCCAAATTAAAAAGTCACTTAGAATTCAGAACTCAAACTACATCTCTCTAGAATAGGCACTCAGGCATCAACATTCCTTCAGGGGATTGAGTGGCCAACAAAAGGGTTATTGTTCAAATCCTTACTGAATACTATTTTAAGACTCTCGAAATTGATAGTTCATTTTCTGTAACTCACTGAAAGTATTTGAAGGAATAAATTCAGAGCTGGAATAAAAGGCACTTTAGGATAAAGAGAGGGAAGTCATTGGCCTGAGGCTTATGTCATGCATGGTATGGACTAAATTCAATTAATGGTAATCCATTCTGGAAGCTTCATTCTTGTTTGTGAAGATCGACAGACAGTGAGTTGCCAGGAAGATCAACAAATGAAATAATTCCCAGCCTTGGACTCAGAAGCAGTGGCCTGGTATAAGGGAGGCCACTACCTGGACTCAGGGAGCTCATATCCTAGTTATGCCTCTAACTACTCTGATGGCACATTCACAGGCACATATTGACTGTGAACTATTAGCTCCAACCCACAAGTGAAGAACAGAAAGATGTTCAAAGACCTTAGCTACTAAGGTCAAATACTTGGTAATCAGTCGAGCTTGGATACAAACTCAGGTCTGCATTGTGTGAAGCTCATCTTGTGTACTCAATGTGAAGACTCCAGAGTCTCAATAGACTTTGGTCTTGTAAAATAAGATACACTCAGTGATTTAAATATGAGGTCTTTTCTAGCTCTAGAAACCCAGGTAAAAAGGTGAAAACAGGTTATTGAAATCAAACAGCAAGTTAAATAAGGAGGAGACATCTTATTCTCAACTTCTTGAAGCTTTTTCTGTTTCATGTTTGCATAGGAGTGCTTTTTGGGGGGGCAGACACTAATTAGCATAAGGCAGGGATCTCTGGAGTCTGTGCAGCTTACTTTAGAAGGGCACAAGATGCAGCAGAGAGGCCAGACAGGAAGCCGTGGCTGCGGTCCAGGAGGGAGAGGATGGGAGTTGGTCTGAGACAGCGGTAGTGGAGAAGGAAAGAAGCAGAGGTATTAAGAGACGTCCTGATGAGGAACCAGCATAGGTCTGAACCAGACCCCTGAATGTTGGTGTCAGTTAGGAGACCTGGGCAGTCTATGGAGCCTCTGGCAGTGGAACCAGTATTTATCCATAGTGCAAGAATGAGTTTTGGGAGCCCATTCCCCCATGGAAGTATACTCTGTCAGCCTAGATACACGGGCGAGGGCCTAGGTACTGCCCCAAATGATATGACAGACTTTGAGGATCCCTGTGGGAGGCCCCATGTTCCTTGAGGAGTGGATGGGGGGTGGGATGGAGGGTGGTGGTGGGCATGGCAGGACGGGAGGGAGAGGGAACTGTAAAATGGGATTGTTTTTAATTTAAATAAAAATTATCAAAAAATAAGAGACGGTCAGGAGTGGGATTACATACCCATATAGACTACCCCCTTCCTACTCACATTAGAAAAGCCACAGATCCATGAAACAACACAGAGAAAAGGGAGAAGTACCTAGAGGCTGAGTCCTGGGAAAGGGGCTCTAGAAAATTGAGTGAGTTCTAATAGTGCCTTTCTGCTAGTAGTCTTTGTAAACTTTGGCACACTTAGCAGATTCATAACTAGAAAGCACCTAAAATGCCCCTCTAACCTTAATGATTCAAAAATGAACTCTATCTCTTTGGCACATTTTTTTTCTCTCCAGGGGAATGATGGTTGCAATTGTATACAAGCAATTTCAATTGTACAAAAACATTCTTCTACTAGAAGAGGCAGGGTTCTCTCTTGAAGGGATTTCTTAAATATTATTGGGCTTCAGTATTAGCTTGAATGTGGAACAGTGAAAAGCAAACCATAAACCATTCTATTAATAGAGTGGATCTTGTTTATAATCCCAGTGGTGTATAATAGGGCTCATGCTATTGTTGGAGTATTTTAATAAGTTTAAAAAATTTTGAAAATTCAATTACATTTATTTGAAGTACATCTGCATTTGGGTGAATAAGCCACATTAAAGCAGAATTCTGTGTGAATGGTGTGTGGACTCTGTAGCCCAGTGTTATTTGAAAGGCTCTCTATGAGCCACCATGTGATTGCTGGGAATTGAACTCAAGACCTGTGGAAGGGCAGTGCTCTTAACCACTGAGCCATCTCTCCAGCCCTCTGTACATTTTCCAGGTAGCAAAGAGTCTGTAACTAATACTATTATGATGATTCAGCTAATGAGGACCGGAGGGATACTTATTTTCATTCTTCACAAGGAAAATGCAACAGTGTTCCTTTTGAATTAAAATAATTTAGTTATGAAGAAATAATGATGTCAAATCAGCCTATTTTAAAATGTCTTTTACTATTAAAATTATTCATCTCATTTTGTTTGGGTCACACTTACCAAGTCCTTGGCATTTAAAGATACTTCATCCCACCAGGGGGAAATGAAGTAATATTCACAATTCAGAATTCTCCTGAACATGAACTGGTCACCTCTTTCATCATAGAATGGTTCAAATCCACAAAGTCTGGAGGGAAAAAAGATAGAGTCAAATACTTTTAAAAGATGAGGTAGATTTCATCAAATTTCTACAAAAATTCAAGATCTTTCTTTCTATATTCCCTACAAGTAACTTTACCTGTACAATTGTGTGATTATTTTCTTATAATTTATGACAGATAACATAAAAACACAACCACACCTGTAGGAAGTAAGAATAGTGAAACCATTTTTTTCAAAGCTACAAGGGGCACAAAAATACAATTAAAATGGCTAATATTATAGACATTATGGTAATGATTTTTCCAGCAGATTTTTCTTGAAAAATTAAAGTATTATATAGATAGATAGGGCTCCAATTTAGTATAAAATGGGAGAGTTAAGAATTCAGGTTTAAAAGTAGATACAAATGGTAATCCACAAAAGCTAGTAGAAGTCTGATATTTCCATGTATTATTCTAGTTTGGATTTCAGACCAAAGCAAAATAAAGATAGAGCTATTAATTCAAAATAAACTTCATTTTTACACACACACACACACACCAGATGTCTGACCACATTCACCTACACTTTCTGCTTAGGGTCAGCAGAAAAAGAAACTGTGAGAATGGGAAGCACCTTGGACACCTTAAAAGAGAGGGCAGGAAAAGTTGGAGTCTGCTCTGGGGTTTCCAAGCCTGCACTGGTGAGAGACAAGTGGGCAGTTCTGGATCATAGGTGGCAAAGGCAGCTCAAACTAATCAATGGTCTTTCCAGGTCACCTCGTGGGGTGCAGGTGGGGAAGGACTCAGTTTTCTTTAAGGGGCTGGACACTGGTGCTGGCCCATGTTCCAATGAGTTCCTCACAAATTAGACTTGGAGTTCTCTCTCTCTCTCTCTCTCTCTCTCTCTCTCCCTCCCTCCCTCTTCTCCTCTCTCTCCCCTCTCCCTCTCTCTCTCCTCTCTCCTCTCCCTTTCTCCCTTTCTCCCTTCTCCCCCTCTCTCTCCCCTCTCCCTCTCTCTTTCCTCTTTCCCCTTCTCTCTCCTCTCTCCCCTCTCCCCCTCTCTCTCCCCTCTCCCTCTCCTCTCTCCCCTTCTCTCTCCTCTCTCCCCTCTCTCCCTCCCTCTCTCCTCTCTTTCCCCTCTCCTCCCTCCTCCCTCCCTCCCTCCTTGACCCTCTTAGCCTTCCTAACACTAGGAAAATGTTTTTTTCTTTTCTTTTTTATTTAATTTTTATATATTTGAATTACAAACAAGATTGAATTACATGACAATCCCAGTTCCATTCTCCCTCCCTTCCTCCCCTACCACTCCCCCAACTAAAATTCTACCTATCATATGTCCTTTCTTCTAATCTACACCTGACTCAACCTTTCTGCTCCCTCATAATGTCTGCATCCTTCCTTTTCTTCTCTTATCACTCTTGTAGCTTCCTCCCCCCTCTTCCCATGTTCTCAATTTGCTCAGGGGATGGTGACCCTTTCCCCTTCTCCAGGGGACAAAGTTTGTCTCTTTTAGGGTCTTCCTTGTTTAACACTAGGAAAATGTTGCCTGCTACTGGAGAAAGCAATCAGCTTATTCAGGAAGTTCCTTACGTTTCCCATTCTGAAATCCAAAGTAATAATAATTTAAAAGTCACAGTCCTCAAATGACTTCCTCACAGTCAAAAATGAATGACTGTTCTTGAGAAATGATACCTCAGGCTGTCTTTTAGCACACACAACATGTGTGGAAGTGGAACTCATTTGGACAATGATGCTGAGCTCAGATGTCTACATGGTATAGTCTCAGGTCACCAGTCCCCCACTAAGTGGACATGAAGGCTAAATAAAGGAGACATGCAAGTCCAGTGGTACAGTCCACAGATATGCCAACGATCCTTGCCAGGTGGACTTCAACATAGTATGAACTACAGGTAAACGAAGTGTCCACAGGCTTAGTGCTGATAGGGTGGGGAACTGAAAGATATTAGTCATGAGTGGCACTATCATTCTCATCCATAGCCTACTATAGGCCTACGTGTGTGAAAATATAAGAAATACGAAAATGAGTTTGTCTCATTTGGTAATGGACTAGGGGAAGTTGTTTTTAGAGAGATGATCTCTTTTTCTGCTTCCTTTCCCATGAGAGTGGCCATTCCATGGAGTTTACTTATTGTGTATTACAGTTATTCTGAATGAAACTTAATGTTCTGTTTTCATGTCCCTCGAGTTCTCTTATAGGCTACAACCCTTCAGGGTACATTTCAACCCAAAGTTATAACCAGGGACACACACATTTTAGAGACAAAAAAGAATCCTTATTTGTGTATGTCTTAGGGTTTCTATTGCTGGTGTGAAACACCGTGATGAAAGCAACTTGGGGAGGAAAGGGTTCATTACGGTTTACACTTCCAGGTAGAAGTTGGAGCTGATGCAGAGGCCATGGAGGGGTGCTGGTCATTGGCTTGCTCCCCCTGGCTTGCTCCACCTGCTTTCTTATAGAACTCAGGACCACCAGCTCAGGGATGATAGCAATACCCCACTATGGGCTGGGCCCTCCCCCATCAATCACTGTCAAAGAAAATTCCTCACAGTTGGATCTTATGGAGGCATTTTTGCAATTGAGGTTCCCTCCTTTCAGATGACTCTAGCTTGTGTCAAGCTGACATAAAACTAGCCAGGAGAGTGTAGTTTGGGTTTTTCACTTCCTATGATAAAGTACCCTTTCTTTGGTTTTTCAAGACAGGGTTTCACTATGTAGCTCTGGCTGACTTGAAGCTCATATATAGGCCAGGCTGGCCTCAAACTCACCGAGATCCACCCACCTCTGCCTCCTGAGTCCAGGGATTAAAGGCGTGTTCGAGTAAACCTGGCATCATGAAGTATTATTGCACAAGGCTCAGGAGCTAAGATTCTCCCTCACTCTGCCATGTGAGGACACAGTACAAAGGAACTTTTCACTCTGTAGAGCCCAACCCTGCAGCCATCCTAACCTCAGGCTTCCAGCCTCCAAGACTGTAAGAAGGCAAATGTCTCTATTTAAGCCACGCATTGGGTAAGGGTAGCTTACTTATGATAATCGGCTCTTCAGAACCCTGGGAAATTTCTCTGCATTTTATGGGTTGCATATTATGGGTTTCCCAAAACTAACTGCATTCCCTTCAAAACCACCAAGTGTGTTTACTGTGTACTAACTCTTTGGTGCACTGATGTTCGCTTTAGGCTTTCTGCAGCCACCTTCACATATGACTTCCTGAACTATTCCCTCCAGTTCCATCACTGCTTCACAAATTTTCTGAAATTATTTCTCATTAGACAGTAGCCCAGTGATGGAGTTTGGGAGAGCAGAGAATGAATTACCAGCTCATTTTATTAGGGTGTTAAGCCCAAAGCCCTTGTAATCTTCACATACAGGAAAATTAATCAATAGGTAAATGTGCTTGAAATATTCTGATAAGAAACATGCTACTGGTCTCCAGAGCGAGTGCCAGGTTAGGCTCCAAAGCTACACAGAGAAACCCTGTCTCGAAAAACAAAACAAAACAAAACAAACAAAAAAAGAAACACGCTAGTTTGGGATTTAAGAAACAAATAACAGATCTAGTAAAAACATCCAACAGTCTGCTTAGCAAGATGCAAATAAATAAAAGGGGAGAGTGTGACAGGTGGACTTAAATTTCACATTTATTATGATCATAAATATTTCCTCAAATGTGGGTAATATTATCTAGGAAAATCAGTTAAGGAAAAGCCCTAAACAGCTTTTACCCTCCAGGGAAATGATATAGTGAGAAGTAATATTGATTGTGAAACTACACTATTGGCACAGTTGGTATGAAATGGAATGCCACATCATTTGAGACTACGCTATCAGCATGGTTACTGTAAAAAGAAGCATCACAAAAAGTCAGAGGAACATTGGGTGTCATGAGAATCGTTAATTCACAGAAAATTTTATACAAAGTCTGTTTGCGTAAAGGCTGCTTTTCATCACTTACAAGATATAGGTGATTATTCCTACAGACCACATGTCCACCTCAGGACCATAGGCACAGCCTCGGAGAATCTCGGGGGCTGCAGAAAGAAGGAAAATGAGGTTCAATTGGAGCATCCCCTCAACACTCACATTTTAATTGCAACCAAAGGGGAGAAAGAAATTCCCAGCCTAAACTGCAGAACTCTCACCACCAATCTTCTCTCCTTTAACTACAGCAGGATGAACAAATTCTCACCTCTGTTTCTGCCCGAGACACTGCAGTCTTTGTCATGGGTGCATGAGAGTGATCGCATTCTGTACTGTAATGTCATCATATGGCTCAAATAAAATGGGCAGGGGTGTGTCTTTGCTACAAAACCCTCTTACTCAAAGGGCACTTTATACATAGACAAGGAAGACATGAGCCTTAAGCACAGTAAAGGGGAAAACAGGCAACATTAGGCTTCTTAGAAATTGAGAATGACTTGAAGCAGTGGGTATGCAGCAAGGCATGTGTGGGGGCAGGGAAAGAGCAGACTGTGGGAAGGGTATGCAAAACTCTAGCACAAGAAAGTCGGCATTGGAGCATGAAAGTGCTGACATACATCTTGGCCTTGACTGCTGTATGTCAGTCCCCAAGGAAACATTGTCCCCAGGTTCTTGAAGTCATAGCCTGAGAAAGGAGGCCTTCCCTATGCATAGTAAGATATATTGTATTAGCTTTATCTACTGTTTGGGTAGGAAGGCCTCCTCAGCCTTGGCATGGCCCTGGAGAGAAGACTATAATGATCTTTAAAATTTTTATTACCAGAGGGATATGGAAATTAGAAGCTGACTGGGTGTGGTGGTTTGTACTGAGTACTGGGGTGTGCTGTTTACCTAATTCACAGAGGAAGAGCAAGAGAAGCAATGCACCATTATCTGCAGAGAGATGGGGTCTATTAGCCCACAGTGTATTCTTGAGTGCTGTAGACTATGCTGCATGCAAACACATGGGAAAGAAGTTCCCTCCGTAACCCTCTACAGAGCAGCTGCAGTTTTTGCCCAACACAGCAACATCTGCTTTCTTTTCACACCACCATACAAGCACACCCTGCAGTAGCAGAATATTTCTCCATAAGGCATTTGCCTGTACTGAGTCAACTTTGGAGGTTAAAGGTTAACCGAAGCAAAGGGAAGATAAGATGTTCTTGTCTTCTGTAATAAATTTCTTAAAATACTTTTTTTTATAAAGGAAGGAACTTATAATATCTTTTATTTGGAGAAAGGGGCAGGTTTCTTTGTGTAATCTTGGCTGTCCTAGAACTCACTTTGTAAACCAGGCTGGCCTTGAACTCACAGAAATCCACCGGTCTCTGCCTCCCGAGTATTGGGATTAAAGTC